TGATTTCGGATGACCGGGGAAGTAAAGAGTAAATAGTGCCAAATATGTCTCTAAACAATGAAAAGTTCCGAAATCCTAGAAGAGAGCAATAGAAATGATTACTTAGGTGTCCACGGGAGTCTGTTTATCTACACTTGACCAATTTTCGAAAAATGGACTCAAAACTGAGGATACAAGATAGCTCGAACTACCTCGCTGCGGCCAATCAGAATGGTAGCCCAAGTAGAGGAAATCGACGATGAGACTCACCTTGAAGATATACATACTCTGCACGATTTTAGGCTCTTCGTAGTGTATTTCTTTCACCAGCTGCTTGATTTTTGGGTGGAATGACATCCGTTTGAAGACGGGGTTCTTTAGGTGGAGCCCTGTAGAATGCTCGAGAAATAGAAAAATAGACACTAGAAAAAAAACGACTTAAAAACAAAATAGAGGCACAACCACTACATACCATGCCCGATTTTGTTGAATGCTTTGTGCTTCTCAGTGAGCAGGTTCCCTTCTTTGTCGAGAGCTCCCTCTTCGAAAAACACACGAATCTTGTCGGAGCTGTTGAGGAAGTAGTCATCAGCAGCGTGCTAGAAGACTTCGAGGATTAGGAGCGTATCGCAGATGTTGACGGGAACAAAGGGCAGACCGTACTTTGTCCTCATCGAGCGTTGAAAATACGCTTTTTGGATGTTCTTTTAAATCGATCGCTGTGATCACACGATCGATTTCATCTTTCATCTCTGTGAGCTCACTGTCCGTGAAGACGTTCTCAATCACCGCGAAACCGTTTTCCTCGAAATCCTTCAGCCAGCCCATCCTACGTAGAATATGATTACTTCTGGGTGAAGATTAGCAGAATGATATAAGTACGAACTGATAGGCAGAACAAGTAGCTTATCGAGGCTATAGTGGGAAGATAGCAGGCAAAGTTACTGTATGAACCCTCCAAAAAGGCACGCCATGCTCGTGAAGAGAGCTTGACGTTTAGCACTACCCACCGCTGGGACGAGTATGATCCAATCAAGGTGGAAATCCAAATTTACCTAACCTCTTACCACCCTATCAGACTCATCTCTGTAGGAAGGGGCACGCAAACTGTACCAAAAAGTGGCCAAATCTACATTTTTTCTAGAATTTTCCACACCCTTCAAATACCCTAGATATAAGGAGCATTCACCGTCTTGTTCACTGCGAAAGATGGGCGTGTCAATGAGGCTGCATTTGTCCGGTTTTTCAGCGTCAGTCGGTTTTTCACCAGATACCGATCTTTTCCACGAAAAGACCGTACCATGATTTTCCTCTCAATGATTTCGCATCAGTTTCTGTCACCTACCCGCTCCAACAACTGGTATGAAACGTACTGGCGCCACTCCGAACCCAGCCCCACTGACACGCCCCATAGCCAGATCACATCGCACGTTGAGGACTCCCCAGCGGAGATCGTATTTGGTCGCTAAACGGAGGAGGGGGGGGGGGTTGTATTTATTCTGAGAAAACTTTTTTGATAGTTGATTTTTCTTGCTTCATGGACTCTATAAGGGGCCGCATTAGCTCGCAGTTGGCGAAAGGGGGGGGGTCGCAATTGCCTTTGAGAGAAATTTACGTCCTGGAAAAGAGTTTCCCTTCCAGGGTGTAAATTTCTCTCGAAGGCGCAATGCGACCCCCCCCCGCCTTCCCTTCCCTTTTGTTGAATTTTCGCGGTTTTTTCAGTTTGGGCTATATACACCACCACCGCCCCTCCCCTACTCCAACGCAACAGAAAAACTTTGTGGAAAGGCTGGAAAATCCCCAAGAAATTCCGGGAAGTGGAAAAAGTGGTAGGAACTTGGGAAAAATCTAGGAGAGTGGTGGGTGGGATGGGGTCGTACCGGAGGAGGGAATCAGGGGGTCGTTTTTTCCGGAAATTTTCCTCAGCGGCAAGGCCTGCCCTGCCCATCATCTACGGCGAACAAGGGCGTACATACTAGCTTTGGAGCAGAGACGCACACTAGAACGCACACGAATAATTTCTAAACACAACAGCTGCTCTCTGGGTTTTTACATACTTAGTCCGATTCTAACTCGTTTTCAGATATTCTTTACAGATTTTCAGATGCAATAGCGGCCATTTACGTAGATAGCACGAAAAGTACACAAAAGGAAATCCTAAAAGAACCTCTGCAGCGTCAGGGCAATGATGTACTGTACCCACGTGTTCGCCCTACAGCCCAGAAAATAGGGTTAGTGAGAATCTTCCGCCAGCCAAGAACAACTCCCCTCCAAGACCGATGGCCAACACTTTTTACAAAAGCGATCAGCACAAGGACAAATCTTCAATCGCTGTGACCGCTGCACCTTATTTACCCATGTCTGGGTGCTGTAGCGTTTTGTAAAGTAGTGATCGCTGAAACCAGGTCAACCAGTTGTTACTTTTGAAAAGAAAGTGGTTTGTTACAGCACAAATTATGGCGCTACGAACTGGTTCTACAGGGCTGTAATAAGAGAGGATGCACGTACAAGCTTCACTACTAGGATGTATTTAGATAAATAATTTTAACGATAAAACGACGGATCTTTGTCAGGATTCACTGGGGAAAGAAAAAAGTCTGTGTAACAAGTAGCATCATAATTGAATCAGATCAATACGAGCAGTTCCCCTTATCAACTAGCCCTGCAATGTCGAACGAAGGTCAAAGAATTTCTCACGTGTGTTATGTAATCGCTTTTATAACCGTCATACAAGGTCAATTTTTGATATCAGTCTTATCGGAAGCCACTACGGTGACACTTTTCTTGAAAGGGCAGAAATAGGCGTGCAGAGCGTTAGGGCACCTTATACGTTTGGAATTCCAGGCAAAGGGAAGTGTATCTGCTT